TCGATAATATAAGCATAAATCACATTATTATTATTTTTAATAGTATTACACATGAACATATTCTCACAAAAATAACTCTTCCCTACAAACATATCCCCTTTGGAGAGAATAAATTTATCTCCCTCAAATACAGATTTAGAACCATACTTATTAAGTAAAGGTACAGAAATCAAGTTCTTCCTAACTTCCGGAACATAAAGAACATCTTGAAGAGTGAGTGTTTTTTCAGAAGTGAATTCAATCTCTACTGATCCTTTTTCCTTTGACTTGAACAGTAGAGGCATTCCCATGTACAAAACATTACCATTTTCTTTATTGATGGTCTTGAATTATTTTTTATTTTTGCACACATGATGGGTAGCACGAGAGTCTATCCACCAAGAATTTATATCTTTTACCATGTTGATTTCAGAAATGACAACAACAAGATTGTCTGTTGTTGCACTTGAATTCTTGTTTTTATTCTCTCTTTTCAAGAACCTGGACTCATTTTTAAAGTGTCCTGGTTTTCCACAATGATAGCAGTTTCCTTTATTTTTCTTTCTATTGTTATTATTGCTATTAACATTATGATTTTCATAAGATTTTCCAAAATCTCGTTTTCTTTTCTTAGAAGTTTTACTTGAATTTCCTTCCTCCATTACATGCACTTTCTCATGAGCAATTTGATTTTTAGTATCATCTTGTTTACGATACTCTTCTTCTAAACAAAGATAATTATCCAATTGCTCAAGAGATATGTCCTCTTTCTTATGTTTCAATAATTTTTTAAAATCTTTTCATGATGGAGGAAGTTTATCTATTATGAAAAATACAATAATTGTTTCATCCATATGCATATCATGTTGTTTGTAGTTATTGAGAATATGTTCGATTTCATACATTTGTTCCTTTACAGACCTACCATCAATCATTTTATAATTATTAAGTTGAGAAACAAGAAACTTCTTACTTGTAGCGTCTTCTTGCATGTATCTTGATTCTAATTTCTTCCATAATTATTTTGCAAAGTTAATGCCCTGATAAATATCGAACAACGAATCGCACATACCGTTGAGGATGTGTCTCATGCATATATAATCATTATTGTCCCAGTTTTGTCTCTCTCTAGTTTCAGCAATTGTTTCATTTTTAATTATTTCAATTTTGGAATGTTAAGGACATGCACCACTTTTAATATTGTGAGAAGGAATTTTATTTTTTCTGTCAACGAATAAAATTCCCTCCATCGAACTTCTCTAATTTCACAAAGTCAGAAGTCATTTCTTTTCGTGAAGCAGCCATTGAATAAAATGAGTTGTTCCTTAAGATTGTTATAAATATTTCGATTTTGGGTTTGCTGCAAAACTAAGAATGAATGGAGATGAAAATAGAGAAATAAATTTGCTCCATAAAATTTCAAAGAGTATGTTTCCACACAAAGCTTAAGGAACAATTCGCCTCCAGCAATCTTTTTATTTTGGATGCAAAAGTGTTTACCGGCGAATTTCCTGCAGGATACTTTAAAATTCTTAAAGAGAATTGTGCAATCTATCTAAGCGTGTCTTTGATAGTATTTTACAGAAGAATATTTTTTTCTTACTCTCATGCATTAGCGAAGAGAAAAATAATTTAGTATGAGAAAATAATTTGAGACTGATTTGTTATATGTTTTCATCGTGGCAAGACCTCTTATTTACAATGAGGTTGATATCTGTTTGAAATCAGAAACATCTTTTTAAAAAAGGTATTGCACTGTTTTGATTACCACATATGAAAAGTAACAATGTTTTATATAAAATTAACACGGATTTGTTGGTAAGTAACACCCCTTCTTAAATAAAAGGTAAGCAACATCTTTATTTGAAATTTATTCAAGTCAAATAAATAATAATATTATGCAAATATTAAGGCACCATTAAATCCAATAAATAACAAAGGATCAATAAATAATAATATTATTTAAATAATAATATTTATATCAATACTTTAAATAATACAATCATCTAATTTATTATTATTTTAAAAATTCTCTCACAAGGTACACCTTCAAGCACAATCATATAAGGATTTGCAACTTTTCATGAAAGAAGACATTATTGAGATCTAATTGATATAAAAACCAATTGTGTATGGAAGCAGTTGCAAGAAGGGTTCTAGTAGGAGTGAGTGTGTATGGAAGCAATTGATGTATGATTCCATTAGAGGAATACAATATAGTCATAATAGATTCATGCCCATTATCCATACGAATAATTTTGATTTTGGATCCATATTGTATTTCAATTAACTCGACAAAATTTAAGACATGTTATTTAACTTTTGATTTATTTTTGCATCCAAAGTGTATTTACTATAATCATCTATAGTTAAAAAGTGTGAGTGACCACGAATAAACTTGATAACAAGAGGGCCTAAAATATCAAAATGGATCATATAATAAAGGTTCAAAGCTTTATTTGTACTAATGGCATAAGGTAATTTTTTTGTATCTAGCATAATTTTATATATCACAAAAATTTTTGTAATCAACTGAAATAAAAGGAAAACTAGATTGTAAGGACAAAATTCTACTATGAGATAAGTGATCCAACCTAAAATTCCATAAGACTCTGTCGAGTAAGGTTGTAGTGGCTAAAATGCTTGATCAAAAGAAAATTTCTCCTAGAATTTTTTTTTTTTTTTGAAATTTGTCTCATGAAAAGTTTCATACTAATTCTAAAAAGAAACACCGTGGCACAATATATTTTTTTGACCTTCATCATCTTTTCCTTCAACCATCCTTTTATATCAAGCTAAGGAACCACACAATTAATGTGAAATGAAACCTCTTCCTACTAAAAATTTCAAACTCAATATCACCCTCTTATGATCATCTCTTAAAAAATTTATTATCTTCATTTGTTTTTCCTTCTTCATGAAGTGTTATCTTTTATGGATTGAAGAGATTGAAAATGTGAAATCAAACATATTTACATGAAGGCTAATTGTTGTGCATATCAACTTATATATACTTATCATAATTACAAGTTTTGTTTGATAAAATTATCTTATTCTTAGTTGTCGATAGGGATAGGGGTGTTCAAAATCGAATTGACCCAATAGAAAATCATAAATCGAAAACCGCTTAAAATTGCATTTGATTCGAATGTGATTGTGTTGTTTTTAATAAAATTGCACGTTTCTGTTCAGCTCGTGGTTTATATTTTACAAACCAAACCAAACCGAATCAAACCGCATTGTGTTACAACTTAAATTTCACTTATCCCACATCCAATTCACTTATCCCACATCCAACCCAAACCTAAATCTATTATGCCTTAGCCTTATAATTATGAATGATTTTCCTAAATCTATTATGCCTTAGCCTTATAATTATGAATGATTTTCTCTTCCTCAAACTTAGGGTTTCAGTTTCAACCTAGCCTTATAATTATGAATGATTTTCTCTTCCTCAAACTTAGGGTTTCAGTTTCAACCTTATCAAATCTCTCTTAATAGTATGGTGCCTTCTTCGCCAAGTCTATATCGCCTCTTCTTCTCTAATCTTCACTCTCTTATATTCTTTCTATTTTATCTTCTCATTTTTATGTTATTGTTCTTTCTTCCAATTTCATTTTTATTGCACATCTTCTTCCCTAATCTCTCATCTCTTTTGTTCTTTCTTTTTCATTTTCACTAATCTCTCACCTCCTCTATTTTTTTATTTTATTATAATAATTTTGATATTGTTTTATGCTATTATTTTATGTTTATTATTTCACTTTTGTTTAATCTAATTTTTATATATTAAATGAAAAGTTGTTATTCAAATATGATAAGTTTTGTTGTTATTTAATAATGTATAAATGAGTAAACACACAATTATGTTGTTTTCTATATGAATATGTATGACTCAATTTTTTTTAAAAATCAAACCGAACTAAATCACCTTGATTTGGTTTTATTTCTAAAAAACAACCGAAGCAAATCAAATCACACGTTTTTTCTCTTACGACTCGGATGTTTTCTAGCGTCAAAACCGCTCAAACTACACCGTAAATACCCCTAATTGTTGAAGTGCCTTTTTTCCCTTATATGGTTCCTTAAAGTATTTTTTTAAAACAATTTGTCCTAAACCAGACAAAACAATCTCACACAATTCGAGAATCAAAATTAAGAATAATTTATATATAACACAAATACATCTCAAAAGAACCTTGAAAATAACTCGAAATTTGCACCTTCATAACCATAGCGGTGCGGACTGAAGTAGCCTAAAAACGCTTTTCAATAAAATAAAATAAAAAATAAGAAAGAGGTTACTTTATTTAAGGTTGGCATGCTGTATTTTGTATCAATGACAGGTCTGTATTTTGTATCAATGACAGGTCTCTTGAACATTTCCATTGGTTTTAGATTTACACTTATTATCTAACTTGAAGAACTATATATCAGGGACTCCTTTGGAGTGAGAAAGACAGGAGCAAATACAGAATTCAAAATAAGTCAAAACAAATTTAAATTATAAAGTTGGTAGTCAGATTATGTTTTGTTTTTCCAAACAATGTTTTAAAAAAATAGAGGATCTTAACCATAAAGATGGAGTTAAGTAGGTGAGATTTAGTTCTAAAAAGAATATCAGGACGCCATGAACATGGCAACATGATCCACCCTTGCTTGTAACTATGAACTTGTTGGGTGCTCATGTATAGCCAGTGCTCAGCTGAGTTTCAATTTACCCTTTGAGTAAGCAGCCTCTTTTTTGATACTTGACGCAGTTCATCAGATGTTAAAAAATGTAGGCAAAATAATTGAAGTAAAGCTCAACTTCGTGGTTAATATTAAATTAGGAATATCAGTTCATAGTCCTCAAGGTGAAGTACATTAGAGTTTCGAATCAACTTGTGCTTTCACTAAAAATATCTAGCCTTCCATGCATTAGTCAAACCAGCCATAAACTATAACTGAAAGAAACAAAGCAAAAGAAAAAATAGAAAGAAGGAAGCAATAAATGATGCAACAGTTGCCAAGACTCATTTTCATAAGCCCTCGGGTGTGGGAAGACCCTTCACTTGCATCTGCTTGTACATCCATTGCCAATTCTCTAATGTTACCTCACCACCAAGAGAGCGGATGACAGATCCACCACTACATGTGCCTACTTTGCAGCATTCTTCTAGTGACAAACCCTTAACCACTCCGTACAAGAATCCACTTGCAAAAAGGTCTCCTGCTCCTGTAGCATCAGTTGCCTTTGATTCTCCTATCGCCGGGACACGTATCATCTGACAAATAAAAAGATTGGTTTATGATTACTTACAAGTGATAAGTCAAGATTGCCTTTGAACGCAATTTGAAATGATGGCCAAGTGAAAAGAAAGTAAAACTATAGAACTTTTCATTAATGATTTTGGACCACAATGTGCTTAAAGTACGAGTCAAAAGCGTACAACTTATCTCTACCGATAAGAATGATGAAAATTAAGGGATGCTAGATGTAAGATCAGATAGGATGCAGACTAAACCAAACTACACACATTCCGGAAGACGGGAAAATAATTGTAGAAGGAACTGAGTATAATATATCATACAGAAGGACAGCAAAAAATCAACAAACCTCCTTCCCATGTCTAGCAATGCATCCATCAGAGCCCAATGTTACCACAGCCCATTGGCAGTATTTGGCAAGAAATTCTACTGCGGCTATTGGATCAGCATTCTGTTCGCCCCTAAAAACTCATCACAAAGTAAATTTATAAAAGTTAGTTAAAAGAAAAGTACAGAATACACAAAATGAAGTAAAGGCAGTTAATAAATTATAGCTTCATAATATGATATCTTGATATAAAGCAAGGTTGATAATAACTCCTATGGATGACAACCACCTTAAAAGTTCTGTTGCCTCATCCTCATTGGCAAAGCAGAGGTCTATGTTTCCAGATTCCAGCAACTTCAGAAGTGGTAATTTAAAGTTCCTAACCATCTTGCCAAAATAAAGAGATTGAAGTGAGTGAGAAATGAAATGATTACATAAATTACTTTTTAAAAATGAAATTTGCATATTAGTATTAAATACTTAGATTTATATTGGTAGGGCACCTAGTGCACTATCATACATTCATATGTGAGATTTTATAGAGATGCATATGCTCTTGTTAGGTAAATGAAAGCAATAAATCAAGCATGTTCAGTAATTGTTTGTGTGGGCTAGATGATTAGTGATTATATTGATTTAGTAACTCTTTCTCATAATCCTTTTCCTTGTTGAGTGAAAATATTACAAATGAAAACTCATTTTATAAACTTCGCAAGCTCGGGTGGGAGAAAACTTCGCAAACTCATTTTAGAAATGAATTTTCTTATCATCAAACTTGTGTACCCAACCTTTTAAAAAGAACTTATGGGGAGTGGAAGTTCTGAGTAGTAGTGTATATAAAATACCTCAAAACTGGCCAAGTCCAAGGAAACAAGAAGACCTTCCTGTTTGGCCAAAGCAATGGCTGCTTGAATAGCTTCCAAATTGAGTATTGCATATCTCAAAACCAACCACTGAAATGTAAATATATCAACAATTAAGTTCAAAGAGAACCCTCAGATGATATATTATTAGTAGTGGTAAACCTAGATGAAAGGACAGATCGAAGAGAAACTTTTTAGTATGTATGCAAGAGAAATATAAGGCCAATGCACCTTCATTTCCATTTTATGGTACATTATAGTGGAATAAACATGAAAAAATAACAATATAGGGTGTGCTTGAATCTAATGATTTAGATCTCTGCAATGTACAAGACAGGAAAATTAACACAAAGTTTCACAACAGTTAAACTGGTGAAGAAGTGAACCTTGGAGCCTTTGAAATCCTCTTTCGTCAATTCTTGAGCCTGCCGCGCAAATAAGAGAGAGTATAAATCAAAAAAGAAAACTTGACAAAAGTTAAATCCTAACCACAAAGCATCCACAAATGATGTTTAACATAAAACAATACCTGTACTTTGACAGCATTTGAGAGACAGGGCCGCATTGTTCGATTAGCCAATTCATCTACCAAGCAAACACACTGGTAGAATGACAGATTAATATTAGAAACAAGTATTTAGCATTTGTAAAAGTTGTTATTAGGCTCTGATCGGATTAACAGTTTAATTAAACTCTTATATACGCATAACCTATTTCTAATACAAAAGATACAATAAAGCAAATTGTTTACTTATGAGCTATTTTGATAAACTATCTATGAGAGTTTATGAAAATAAGTTGAAAACAATTTATAAACATGTTATAAGTTCTGAAACACTCTCACACAACTTATGAAGCACGGACACTGAAAACATAACACCGACACGACACGCCGATGCCGTTAATAATCACAAGTGTATGTGTCATTTTCCAACACGGACACACCTTTTTTCAGATATGTCAGTGATACAGAGCTCACAGGAAGTATTTATGTCAGTAGACAAGTTTAAATAACTCAATCAAAATAGTGATATTGACGCGAGAAGCATAATCAACCTGTGCAGTGTGTCCATTCTTTTTCCGAAGTCTAGAAAGATCAACGCCATGAGACGACATATTATTAACAAACAATTGACCTTGTTCATCGTCTCCACACGCTCCAATAATTCCACTAGAAATCCCAAAACCACTACTAAGACCACGAATCGTATTGGCAACACTTCCACCAGCCATAGTTTTCATCACACAAGAACGGGAATCATCATTAGCCTCATCACGAGAACTAGTTTCAACTTCCTTCAGTATATATTCAAGCTCTTCAATCGCAACCTAAATTCAACAAAATCAACAAATTCAACCAATTGTAATAATAATAACTGAAAAGAATATAAGAATGCACAAGGAAGTGATTGAAAACGGACGGGAATAGAGCCACCGCGTTCGCCGGGAATACGATCGAGCAACGAGCAATCAACGCGAGCGACGGTATCAACGAGTGCAGACGGTTGAAGACCTAGAATGAAAGGATGATCGCTTCGCTTCTGACAAAAGCTTTCGGCAACCATTGCTGATTGAATAGAAGCAGAAGATGAAGATGGATCTTGTGTTATCTATAGTGGTGCAAAAGAAAATGAATGCGCCGTTCCGATCCCGAATTTTGCGCCATTCAATTTCAGATTCTTTATTGTAAAAGAAGCCACTACCACGCTTAAACCCTTGTTTTTAATCGTTTACCCTCCATCCAAATCGGAGCAGATTCGCAACTATAATTTTATCACTTTTTGCGTCTTCTTTTGTGTCACTATGCCCTACACGAGGCCGAAAGATGAAATCAATTATTAAATTAAAATGTATTAAAATGTAAATTAAGACCAGCTTTTGAAAAATATAATTTTTTTAATTGAACTATTTGTCTCTTCTCTAACACACCACCAATCATTTATATCTCATTTTATTTATTTATTGAAATTAATTCACATGTACTCTTAAAGTTTTACACACTCTCAATACATTGTAATTATCCGTTTGTATTATTTTTTAAGTGATTAAAATCAAATTTTTAAAATAAATTAGTAGTTATGATTAACTGGTAGTGTAAAAAAAATTTATATTGTCATTACATTCAATTAAATTCTTGTTAAATATTTAAAAATATTAATGGTAAAAAAATCATGTGAGTTGGGTTTAGTTAACTTACTAAGATCAGGTGTCAAGGCTTAAAAAGCTTTTATTAGAGGGTACTTACAAATTACTGATTAAGAATGTCCTCAGATTGACAACAAAGTTAAATTCACGACATTTAAAAATATTATTTAAAAAGCTAATGATGAAATCTCATGCTCGTGATATTAGACATGAAGAAGATGAAAATAGAGTGAATTTTTCTTGCATTGATCATGAGATAACGTTGTTTATATAAAAGAGAATAAATTATGCACTTGTTACTTGGGATACAAATAAGCTACTAAACAAATTAAAAATTGAATTGTAACAAACTCCAAATATATTAACTAACTTGCGGATCAGTTAATAGCTTTCCACACGTTGAACTTTGGTCAATATTTATCAAGTTCAACTTGGACATGAGTGCATTGAATGGTTTTGGAAGTAGGGATTTGATAAAGAAATCAGCCAGTTGGTTGTTGCAAAATACGAGAATGAGTTTCATAATACTTACAAGAAATTTTTCTCTAACAATATGATAATATATGTTTTTTTCTTTTGTGGAAAATTGAACTTGCAGCTAAATGGAGAGTACTTTGGATGTCAAAAAGAGAACTGATGGTTTGAGCTCTTAACTTGCAGGTCACGCAACAAATATAAAATTCATTAGAGTTCAGAAGTTGATGCAGTCAAAGCTCTACATTCAACTTTAGATGATGGTCGTGACATAGTATTTTACTTTTTAGTTCTTCTTGAGATGAGTGAAGACCCTATGTAGAAGTAAGAGCCTAATACAGATCATCTTAGCACAATCTGCATCGGAAAATCCTTTGAGATGAAGGAATACGTTCCTAGGAAAGAAGAGACCTCGACAGGGGCAATGTTTCAAATATCTCAAAACCATGCAAGCTGCATTATAATGAACCATGGAAAGTTTGGACAGGAATTTCCTAAGTTGTTGAGTAATGAAGGTGATGTCAGGTTTGGCTGTGTTGAGGTATATCATCCTGCTGATAAACCTTTGATATATTGGTATATCTTCAAATGCATGACAATTAGAATGGCATAATTTGATTGATGGTGGCATGTTTAAAACCAAGGAAACCAGAATCAATTAATAAATCAGTGCAATATTTCCTTTGACAGAAAGAGATTCCTTGTTTTGAATGTGTTACTTCCAAGCCTAAGAAATATTTGAGAATGCTAAGATCTTTGATCTTGAATGCTTGGTGTAAAACATTTTTCATGTGTTGAAATTCAGTTAAGGAATCACCTGCCAAAATGACATCATCAACATAAACAAGTAATATTGTAAATGAAAAGTCATTATTCTTGACAAATAATGAGTGATGCGAAATTACTTGTATGTAACCATGGTGAATGAGAAGTGAAACTAGTTTCTCATAAAGAGATTTGATTAATTTGCATACCTGATTTGGCTTTGAAGTTTGGACACCAGGTGGAACTATCATGCAAACATCCCTATGTAACTCTCCATGCAAAAAGGCATTGTTTACATTAAGTTCATGTAAGTGCTATTTATGAATGAATGTTAAATCTAGAACAAGTATGTTTGGAAGCCGGTGAGAAAGTGTCTGAATAATCTAATCTTTTAATTTGGTTGTATCCTTTGGCAACCAGTCATGGCTTGAATCTCTTTATTCTACCATTTGATTTGTGTTTGATTTTATAGACGTGTTTACAACCTATTGGTTTCACATTGGATAAAAGATATATCATTTTTCAAGTACTAGTTTTGTCAAGAGCATCAAGCTGAACTTTCATGACTTGACTCTAACATTCAAACTTGCTTGCCTCGTTATAGGATTTGGGTTAAGTATGAGTAGTAATGGCAATACTAAAATAACATTGAAATGGAGATAAATTGGAGTAAGAAATAAAATTGGAGATAGAATAAAGAGTACATGAAGAAGATTGATTTAATGTGTCATTGAATGAAGCACATACATAATCTTTGAGATGTGATGGTTGGTACCTTACTCTTGAAGATACATGTGTGGCAAGAGATGGGGTAACAGGTGGAGAATCATGAATAAAAGGGTTTATTGATGGATTAGATACAAGTATGTGATAGGAATGGATCGGATCCCACAAATGATGATGGGAATGTGTTAGTTAATAGAGATATTATTGGACCTAAACAATGGAGGGTATATGTGAGAAAGAATAGGAAACTCCAGAAATAAATAGGAGTTAGTTTAGGTATTATTCTCCATATAAATAGGAGTTAGTTTAGGGATTATTCTCCATATAAAAAGGAGTGTATGGGGTAGTAGTTAGGCATTGATGGATTTTCTGTTTTTGATATTAGGGTTTGGGCAGTGAGAGAATTGTTTCTCTGAATGAGGAGCAGTTGTAACAGCCCAATTTTTCAATAATTAATTGTTTATATTAATTAATTGATTTATTTGGATGATTTTAATTATTGGAATTATTGGTAGATATTTGAGAGGATAAATATGATGGAAGGAAATATAATAGAAATGATATATAAGGAAAAGTGGAAGGAAAAGGAAAGAATAGAAACATAAGAGAAAGAGAAGAGAAAGAAAGAGGAAGAGGAGAAAAGAGAAGGAAAAGAGGGGAAAGCTTGGAAAGCTCAAGAACAACTTCTAGCTTCGATTTAATCAAGGTAAGAGTGTGAAATATCATTATCTTGTCAATGTGTATGATTATATATGGGTTGTTTGGATTGTTTGGATGTTTTCTCCATTTTCCATTCTAGGGCAGAAATAGATTTAATTGGTAGAATCGATATTTGAACGGTTTAAATCTGGAAATAATGGTGTAGATTCGTCGAGGATTGTTAGGCTAAGACTACTGGAATTCGTTGGAATTTAATCGGGTGATTTTGGGAGTTTCGAAGAGTTTGGACAGTTGAGGTTTTGAACATCGCAGACGTTCGCTAGCACCTTCGCTAGGCGAGCAGGTCGCGAGTGTTCGCTGTAGTGAGCTAGTATGGAATGGTCCAAGACTTGGGCAGAATGTAATTGACCCTCTTCGCTGGTAGCGAGTGAGGTAGCGAGGGGTTCGCTAGGCGAAGCCCCAGCGAGTAGGTAGCGAAGCCTTACAGTAGCTTCTGTTTGCCTTCGCGAGCTTGTTCACTAGGCGAACAGGTAGCGAGTGTTCGCTAGGCGAGCAAGCCAGCGAGCGTGACAGCATTCTTATTTCTTTGTGTTTTCCATCCAATGTTGATTGTTTGGTTCAATTATGTTCCATCCTTATCGGAAATGAGTAGTTTGTGTACTGTTGTGATATGTTATGATGTGGGTAGCCGTATGGCGTGAATCCTGGATTGTGCAATATTGTGAAATGTGGCCTTTTGGCATATATAATGCATTGTTTAAATTGATTAAAAATGCATGATGATTTGTGATGAAGTTTGTTGTCGTTGGCACGATGATGTGAATGCATATTGATTGTATGCAATATTGTGAATAATGCATGAGAACATATTGTGAATATGTGTGCATTGCTTGATAATTGTGATGATGTTGAAAGTATGAATACTTTGATATGATGTGTGAGTGTGCAATCATGTTATAATTCTTGTGTGATGAATTATTGAGTATGCATGGGATTAAGATGCGAGAACGATCTTAAGTGCATATGATTGTTGATTGCATACACATCATTTGTTTCAAGAGGCAATGCTTGCTAGTCTCGTGGAGGCTAGTGACTTGTCCCAAACCTAGAGCGGGGTTTAAAATCTTAGGGAATGGGCTTTTGTTGTTATCGGTCTAGGGAACGGACCCGGTTTAAATGTAAAAATCGAAAAATGATAACAAGTGTTGGTACCACATGGCATTGAGTTGCATTGAGTCACATGGCATTGAGTTGCATTGAGTCACATGGCATAGATATCATTGTTATATGAAAGTATGCTTGTGTGTGAATTGTTGAATTGAGAACTCTAGATATATGCATGATAAATATGCTTGATGTTATATATATATATATATATATATATATGTGTGTGTGTGTGTGTGTGTGTGTGTGTGTGTGTGTGTGTGTGTGTGTGTGTGTGTGTGTGTGTGTGTGTGTGTGTATGTGTGTGTGGGGGGGGGGGTATACTTTATGATGAATTATGATGAATAAACATAATTGTAAATGTTTATGTGCAATGATGTGAATTGTGAATGATATTGACTGAGGGATTAATGAATAAACATGATTGTATATGTTTATATGAATTATGGTGAATTAAACATAATGTGTATGTTTAGGTGAATTTATTGAAATTGTGGATGTATGTATGAGGAAATATGCTTGGTGATTATCCATATATTGTATATACATTGTGACGTATATGGATGACTTGTGGTGAGAATGTTGATTATGTGTATTCTAAGGTTGTGGATATATATAATTATATGCATTG